CTGTGAATAGCATTCCACCCTGTAACTATCTTAATAGTGAGGGTAGGGGCTTAAAACTTGGGGGCAAAACTTGGTACAAAGGGGTTCCTTCGAGAAATCTATCGAATCGTATGTGCGAAATGTTATTATTATTTTGTTGTTAAGATATGTGAAATAAATATGTATTTTTAAAACTTGTACCAGCTTTTCTTTGCAATATTTTGTTTTCTTCTATGCTAGCAGACTCTATTTTCATGACTTTTATTCATGTACAACGAAGGACGTGGAACGGACACTTCGCGGCAATGGAGGGACTGGTGTATTAAATACTTTAGTTACAAGAATATTAGGTCCTTTTACCCTAAACAATCAAATTAAAATATTTTTTAGAACTATATTTTGCTGTATCATGTTTTTATTCGATTTTATTTGAACAAGGCTATTTATTTATTCAATTTCAGTTTACATTTGGTTTGGGGACACTTTTACCCCTGTTTGCTCTTTCGTAGAAAATCTTCATCAGGAATATTAATCGTTATTAAAAATCAAAGAATTTAAAAAGGCATAGATGTCATAGAAATTTGTCTAATACTATGTCATGTCATGTCATGTATCTAATACTATGTGTGAAGTGTTAGGCGTAGATAGCCAGAAATTTCAGAAATATAGGCACTTGAAGTTACGTCTCTTGAATGTATATCATGATTATAATTGAAATTTTCAAAGTCGCAATGCAGATGTGAGATAGATTGTTGGATAGTAACCGCAATTTTTTTGAGTTCGAGTCTTCTCGGATCACACTCACATTTCTTTTTCTTATTTTTTTCTCCACTTCTTAACTTTTCATTTTGATGTAGATATAGATGATGCTGTGTGATAACTATGATGCATACAAAAGACACAGAAAAGTCGAGTAAATAAAAATATAGAAAATATCAAATCATATGTTCTTATTCACAATGAATTACAAACATCAGTATATTTAAACATGATTAAATAGGCGTGGTATGCATATAAATTAATACCTCCAAGTAACATATTCTGCAATGTAAATCAGGTTGGCACTTCCAGTGAAAACGCAATATAAAAAGTGCGCGTGCAATAAATTAGCCTTTGTAAAATGCTCTTGGTGTCAAATTTTTTCCTGTTTTTCAGTATGTATGATAATTATCACGAAGCGTCATGTATATCTTCATCACAGTGAAAGATTAAAAAGTTCAGAAAAAATGTGAGTGTGATTCGAGAGAACTTGAACTCAAGAAAATCGCGTTACTACCCACCAATCGAGTCCACATTTGCATTACAACTTTGAAAACTTCAAATGCCTACTTCCTCGAAATCTCTGACAATCTACACCTACTATTTCACATATAGTATTGCATAGATACATGTGTACTATTACCCTACAAAAAAATTATTAAATTCGAAGGGGGACAATTAGGATCCTGCCTTTGTTAGTGTATAACTGAAAATGACACATGATATAAGTAATGAATATTCAGATTTAGATAGTACGTTGTGATGAGGATGATTCTATTCTATTGACTGTCGCCGGAATCCCCGAATATTGCTACGGAATACGTGCGATTTACCACAGCCAAGTAACAGAACAGAACAGTTTTAACCACAGTATTGATTCATTGTACTATCTGATTTTTATTTAAAAAGATAGTTATAGAATTCAATTTTTATTTACTGATCATAAAATACGAACAATATTTTCTTAATATCGTGCGCTATAATATCGTGGTGAAGAGTATCGTGCTTTTTATTCGATTGTATTCGAACAAGGCAATTTATTTATTTAATTTCGTTAATCGAAACAAAATAAAAATTTATGGGGTGTTAAATATGTTTCTTGAGTAAAGATCATTCTTACCTAGAGGAGAAAAATATTTTCGACGTTTCGGTAATCGTACAATGCCTTTATGTATGTTGTCGAAATATATTAGTACTCGCGGAGAATGCTAAAATACATTAACAATAGGTTGGAATTTTCACACTTACTTATATTATAAGTATAAAAATAATTGCTATTTGTAAATATTTGTCTCATATCACATACCTCTAAAGATTCAATATTTGCTGGATTATTTCATTCCGTAGAGATCATACAGATATGCGTTAAACCCCGGTTCATTATTTATTTGTCAGAAAACTGCAAACTGAAAGTATTTACAGTATTAACATAAGTGGAACTCATTCAAATACGAAATTATTTGACTACAAATGAAATTATGAAACTATTGAGGTGGAGATCGTTTTTTTTTCAAACATTTGCTTATAATTGCGCATGCGTCATTAGAGGGAGCAACAATATGCTTTTAATACTAAATTAAAATCGTGTGACTCTTCCGTTCGATTTCTCTCAAATGCATCGTTTGAGAGAACATACAATACGCATTTAATGCTACTATTATTACTATAAATTTGCGCCAACGTAAACATGGGAAGCGCAAAAAAATTATTTCAAAAGGACGTAACATAAGGGAGAATAGGGTAATCACAGTCAGCGAACAATGATGGTCAGCACTGTTATTAAAAAGTGACATATCCGAAGTTTCTAATTTTTCTTGTTTACATCTTATTATATCGTTTACTACTCGCACGCACGGTTGCCACTTAATCGCTGCTCAACGACAAAGAAAAACAAGCTTTATAACAAATTTATAACAAGCTTATAGGCCGAGGCGAACCGAATCAGCTCAGATTTAACAGCTAAAAATTAATAGTTAAAACTTAGTAGAATGAACATTTTTTGTATAAATTTGTTATTAATACATATTCAGATTCAATATCAATGACAAAAAATGTTTTAAAACAAAACCGCGGGATTTAGAACGAATTATTCAGCTTTTTGCTTATAAAACGAAAATTTTTAAGTTTTTACACATTTTTTACTGGTATTGAATCTGAATGTGTATTAGTAACAAATTTATACAAAAAATGTTCATTCTAAGTTTTAACTATTAGCTTTTGTTGATCATTTGGGAATCTAAAAAGAAATTCAATTTATTGTAAAATTCTTTTGATTAAACCAAAATTTTACAATTTAATGATAACAGAATCAATTATTGATACATATGTCACAAACATACTACCTTTTAACACTATATATAGTAGCACAGATTTTCGTGACACGACTCTTCGCAAAGAGTACATTCAACCCGATCTTTTGAATGTGGGTGGGTAAATGTGTCATTGCAATAAATGCAATATTATTCTCTGGAAGATCATGTATTTATGTTATTAATTCGTCCTTCCTTATTAGTCTTCATTCTTCTTTTAATATTGTCCTTCTTTGGCCTAGTCTTCAACTTCTTTTGTTAGTTTTCAAGAAGTATCATTTTATTAACAGTGATGTCAAATGTAAAGTTGTTTTTTTCTTAATTATTCAACAAGTAAACCTTTGTAGGGTTGTACAAAGTATACGCTAAATTCCCGGAGTTGGAAGTATGGTCAGTTCGTTGAAGTTAACTTTCATTATTGTGTCTTCTATTTTTTCTGGGCGCATCATTTATAATCATAGAAACATTCAAATAAAGGAAAATGTGATTCGACTTGCCCGCTTCTAAGAATTTCAAAGTGAATACAATAAATGGATAAAATACAATATAATAATCTAAAGTACATTAAATACTGAATATAGGCACCTTAGAGACTAATAATAATAAATACAATTGAATTTCCAAGCTTAGCTTTCTATTATAGCGTATTTTAGACTAGCAACGAATTCGTTACGTTCACTCACGTTCGCTTCGATTCTAACACATGCTGGTAGCAAACGATGGTCTCAAACAATTGAAGACGTATTAGATTAAGTGCAGGGAAAATGTATGCAGTAAGATGGATGATCATTGTGCTCGTTTTTATAGCAACGTAACACATATGGCCAATATTTTTATTTTTATCCGATTCGCTTCGGTTTACCCTACTGTTACGTTTGCTTGATTTTTTATGTCTTTTTCATGCAATTTTTTGATAGATTTTTCCATTTGTGTACTCTTCCTTCTAGAGTCTGGAATACATCACAAAATAATCGCGTTAATTAATAATTAACTATTTAAATAATACGTAGTGATCTATAGAACCTAGAATTATGATCAGGATCGAAAGGAACAAGGTAAACTGAACCTTTCAATTCGTCTATTCGGTTAGAATGATTTAAAGATTCATTTGTCTCTTCCTCGTAGGGTTCTCCTGCTTTACGTCGAATACACTGACAATAAGTCGCATAAGTATATGTCGTCTAGTGAAGTATATTAATGAAATACTGATATAGTAACTTATATACGAATAGCATATATCTAAAAATATTGCAGTATGATACTTTTTACCTCACGGTAATTTCAGTCATCGAGCAAATTATCCACCAATCTTTGTACATAGTAATTCTTACTTAAACATCACTTCTCAAAAACATTGTTCTGTGATCCTTCTCGTCCCACAATAATCTCAATTCATCAACGACATTGCTATACAACAAAAATCCTCATCATCGTGCCATATATTCCACTAAATCCTTCATTCACCATTAACACCCACCCACATGTTAACTCATAAGTCAACATCTCTTACAAATGAAACACTGTTCCTTTATCTTTCTCATCCCATGAGAACTTCGATTCAGCAAGGACGTTGCACAACAAACATCCCCATAGTCGCACAAAAATTTCCAATGAAATCTTTCGCGTACCAGTAACGTCCACTAACATCTAGTAACTACCAGCACCATTTGAAAGGCCCAACTCCAAAGACTTATACACACATAGGATACAATCTACGTCGCTGTGCATACATTTTCATTTGAAAAAAAAAGGTTCCAGCCAAGTCAGCAACAAAGTCAACGAAGGTCTCAAAGTTCAACGAAGAATCCGTGCATGGGAGAGTGTTTTTTGCGAGAATGGCGTGCGTGCGGCGTGTAGACGCGTCAATAGAATCGGTTGTTCGGCCAGGGGTGGGAGAACCTGTCCCGGCCTCTCACGCGGCCGGGTATAAGGAACTCTGGTTGGTCCCAGGTACGCTCAGTCCTACCTTTCGTTAGTTGGCTCGTCTTAAAAGTAGCTGGCCCACATATCATCCCCTTAGTAATCCACGACACGCGTTCCCGTTCGCGTCGACGTTTACACCGCCACGGAATACACTGATCCGCTCGGAATCTCTTTCTCTGTCTTTCGCTCCGCTGGTTTATCGTCCAAAAACGAACAAGAATTTTTTCGTGTACCGCAACCGCAACTGGATATTACTCTTTAGATCGGATATAAAAGACGCTTGTGACAATTCTACTGGTGAGTCAAAGAAACACTTATTACCGTTCTTGACACTGGAACTTCCGAGTGTTCGCCGTGATTCATATGTAATACTTACACGAAATGCCGAGAGTGCATTTGACCGAGTTTTGATATTGAAAATAATTTTGGACGTTTGAGCCATCCGTTTGCGAAAGTGATTACGTCCGTTGCACAGAAGTCGAGGAAGTTAGTAAAATTAGATTGTTAGACCACCTTTAGCTGTGACATTAAAGTTTCAAGTAATTAAGAAGATGGAGTTAGTCGCTGTAACCATTGTGAACGGCTCATTTAACACTTTTGCAATATCAATAATTGTGAAATAAGAACATTGAAACCATCGTCGTCGTCAATTTGATAAGTATGGTAGTTCGAACGTTAGAAACCAAGTCTCCAACTTCTCCCTCGTCAACCGATGAATAAGGAGAGGAATATATACTCGAGGAACACTCGTCTTGTCTGGTCACCGCTCGAACATCCTCGCGTAGTGGTTGTTTATGTGGCACCGTTTTCAGTCACGCTGTGACCGGGACTCGTCTAGTCGTACGGTTTTATCTCGATATCCGTCCAGTTAAGGAGATTCCGCTTCTACGATTCTTCTTTCCCGTGTTAGATTTCGACATTCATTCCGTCGCGACGCTAAATCGTTGAATAGTGTACTGTGAGTTGTTGAAAGTTTGTTTCTTTTCGTAATCCGTTTAATATCGAGTTATCTTGTTACGAGACGTTTCTCTTCTGCTGGTATTCAGTGGATAGTTCATTTTGTTTCGGGTATCGATAATCGGATTACTTTTTGGGTGGTCGAAGATTTGATAACTAGACTAGTGATTTAGGAATTTCATCCTTTTTGGAGTATTTCTGTAGAAACGTGCTACCGAATGTGCCCTTAAATAGTTTTCGAAAGTGAATTTTTGTGGGAGTGCATTCATAGTTTTCTTTTCTTAGTTCTTGTTCGTACATAGTTCTTAAAGTGTTTTACAGAGAAAATAAACAATTTTCTGAGGTATGGAGGTTATATAGGAAATTCTTGTTTTCGAATGTTTTCCTAAGTGTGTACACTGATACAACGTTGGTATTCGTTGCGTCGTATTGTAAGATAATTAAAGATGACCGGCTAGCAATTTAGAAATCTTCTCTTTGGGGAATTTACTGGAAATCGTGCTACTTTACGCTGTCTCGAAAGTGTCTGAATTTTCTGAAGGCATCGAAATGTTCAGCTCCATATAAACTGATAGAGATGTTATCACTGCTGTTTGAAAAGCTTGAATTACAAACTGAAGGATATTAATTATAACTTTTACAATTTTATACAATTTTACAGGTATAATACTTTTGTTCTCACGTTTGAGAGCTAATATTTCTATAATTCCTTTGTAACGAGCGGAAATGTAAGAACTCATTTCTATTCATATTTAAACATACTCTGCCCACTATTTATTGAAAAAGGTATAAAACAAGAATGTATACAAAAAATATCTTAGGAATAAATAGCACCAAGTTTTTGGATGATTTATGAATTTACTTACTGTACACTTGTCTTTCTTCCGAATACGTTTAAGTTGCTTTTCTATTATTCTATAAGTCGATAAACGATAGCTATTATCGTTCACGTTATTTAAATGTTTAACAATGATTTTTACCCGTGTGTTCTTTTTCTTTGGTGATTTCCGATGGCCAGGATGACATTGGACTCAATCGTCGATTGCCACAGAATGGGTAAGCAAAAAATCAACTAAATTTTCGATTACACACGCGAACAGTTCTGTACCTTTATCACGAACATTTTATACTTGCTTCACTTCACGTGATCGCAAATTAAATACAAGAATATAATTGAGTTGTGTAGAACATTTTTATTTCGCGAACATTAAATTTATGAATAATTAATTGGTTGTCGTAAATATAATTTTCGTGAAGACTGAATTTTTAATATAATTCGTAGGGAAGAAATGTTCAACGCAGCAACTAATCTCTCAATGCAACTCGCGAAAAGAAAACTTTCTACATGCTTGTGATCACTGTTATTTTCTTATTGTGTCAGAAGCAGAAGAAAAACGGAACTTATTAGATAAATTCCATTCTCTGACATGATTTTTAATAATTCAACAATTGCAGTCATTCATCATCCGTCATCTGTGAAAACATTGAATCCACTAATTCAATAATTATTGTTTATTATTGTTTAATAATTCCCTTTTAAGTATATGAAAGTTCAATCGACCCTTCTTATTTTTTAAATGAAACCAGTCAAAATCAATTATTCGGGAAAAAAAGAATCGAATAGTTTCGTGTATAGTTGAGCATTTATTATTTGAAATGGAGATATATAAACGTTGAATTACCCGTCTGTATTTTCCTCGGCTAAAAGAGAATCCGCTACCAACAATTGCTCACGTTATTAATCGCGTTATACCGTAATAAAAATCTTCTCGGAATTAACCTCTTCTGCAATTATCCTTTAATTCATCCTGTCTAAATCTCAAGTTACCGCAACGTTTCTCGAGCGTTCGCCGTGCTTCTCGTACATTGGACTCGAGCAAATTTTATTTAAAACAAAGATAAGAAAATAAGAATTTGAAATAATCAATTACTTCAACTGCTTTGTCATTATTATTTCATTAGCAACGGGAGTAGTTTTATTTTGTTTTCTGCAAATAATTTCTTATTTGAATCAATTCGTTTTATTCCATTTTGTTTATACGTCAACTTGTAAACAGTATGTCTTTGAACGTGTATGCTTATTTTGTTTATTTTATCGCATGTGAAGAAACTTCGAAATAAATTTACTCCATATAATATTTCGTATTTCATGTAATGTATTGTACTGTAATATTTTTGAGTCGAATCTATTGTCAAGGTCCAGAATGCCTTTTTAATCATCGAATAAGAATAAATTATATTAAAATATGATTGAATTAAAAGATAAATAGTGCTAAAGGTAATCTAAAAGTAAGTAATTGTGCCAAAGTTAACACACTTACAAGTAATAACTAAACAGCGCAAAGTTCACAGTTCACAATTGCACAGAATGTACGCTATAAAAAGCACGTATGAAGTATCCAAAGTACAATGATTAGGCAAAATCATTCTTTATCGTGTTTTTGTTTCCCTAATTATATTCTCGAAAATGTGGAATCTACACGAAGATTCTTGGTCTAGCAATAACTTGTTCTATAAAATACTACGCACGTCGAGATGATTTTTCTCCAAAATTGCCAATGACATCTTACACGCATTAATAGTTCTGTTACATTGCACTAGATCGTTTCGAAATGTATCACTTTATAAAAAATTATTGATAAACAAAAGTATTGTACATACTGTGTAAAATAAGTAAAAACAAAATTCGTCGCGCAAGACTGCTAAATTGAATTGATCACTATGAATTCATTTCCAGCGCAAGAGGTAAAAGTTAACTGTTCGAATATTTTCTATTGAAAACAACTATCGTGTTTAACGCAGGTCTCGGCGCATTTCCGAACCGATGGACTTAGAGCGGAAATTCGTTGTAACGCGACGGGGCAAGGTAGATCATGAACCTAGCGGATCTCTGGCTGTGACCGAAGCACGCTTTAACGAATGAAAAAGGGGGGTTGAGGAGGGTTGGGAGGGGAAAAAAAAGAACGGTTCCCACGAATTTAACCGGTGGCGTCTCGTCTGGTTTGAATCGCCTAATCGCTGGTTAAAGAGGAAATTTCATCACGGAGGTTCTCTCTCGGCTGATGACGGCGGCCGCCGGCCTCTCCTAAGGGTCATTGGCCACGACATTGATACGGCTCGATCCGTGAATCGACGTGCTCATTACGGAAGTAGCGTCGAATAAATCGCGGTCGAATTAATTACACGCTTAAGTCCGATCGATGCCATACCGTCGAGTTAATTAGTCATTGTTCGCATACGTGACGAATACTATTAGGAGAACTATTAGAATTTTCATATCAAATGGATAACGCTATTGCTTATCCGACTAATTTATTCTAACAAAAGAAAGATATCTTGCAAGTTTTATAAAAATTTTAATGTTTATAGCAAAAGGTAATTCATTTTTCACGTGACGAATGTACTCGTCAAACAACGTTACGGGATTAAGGAAAGAATCATGATTATTATCAATCGCAGCGCAGTTGCTTCGAATTAGCTTTTTGTAATTGGAACTGAAATTCGCAGATACAAGGCATCGAAGTCATTTGTATATTCACACCGCTTTATATAAATCTTA